TTCACTGTATTTTGTTGCGCTGACTAAAATCTGAGTTTCTTCATACATTTTCGTCACATTTCCTGCGGGTTGTGATGGACAGGCAGAGAGATGGGAACAGGGGGAGGAAGAGGAAATGAGACACACGTCACCGTCTCGAATGATCCGAACATTGCGGAGCAGAAGACAGCGTTAAGTCATCCTCAAGAGGCAGAGCTTTCGTTATTTGCTTAGACTCAGTGACCCAGACGGCGTGGCCTCAGGAAGTCCTCCAGAAATGGCCTCTGCTGTGTCCCAGCAGGACCCGCTCCACTGGCGCGAGGTGTCCGAGCTGGCCGAAGCCAGCCTTACCTTTACGCTTCCTGTGGCACCATCGAGAAACTGACCGTAAATTCGGCGATTTTCGGCACCCGGAATTTCCCTTTGTTCTTCTGTTCGGGCTGATACTCCGTTCTCGTCTTCACAATCACCTGAAACGTTCGGCCAGGGTTAGCACGCATGGAAGGGCTTGGAACCTTTCTATTTCTATGAACTAAAATTTGTTCCACGTGGCACAAAGATCAGAAAGTAAACAACATCCCTCTCAAGCACACGTAAGAAAAGAGAGATTTCAAATTACCCATAATACTTCCCCATTCCAAAGAGACAACCATAGATGACAATTTTGGTCACGTCTTTCTAGATGTTCTTAGATGCATATATTCGCTATTTATAAAAACATACATTCTTTTTATGGTGGATTTATACTTTATGAATTTTAAGCTGCTCTTACCATATAACACTCTGCTAAGATTTTTTCCATGTAGATGAATACACAATTGTATTCTGCGATGTAGCATAATATTCAGTGTATGCATATATTACAAGTCATCGAATTAGCCTCTACAGTGGAACATTTAGGTTGTGTCCACGGTTTGGGTTATACCGACAGGCTTCGCACATATATTTAATTTCAATTTGAATCGGGACTTCCACAAAGAAAAACATGAACATCTATTGAATCTATTGTATCATCTTATTTATCTAAAGTCCGAATATTTTGCAGAGGTGGTTAATATCAAGATACGCTGTCAGCCTGCCGGGACATTTAGAGAACTCCACCCCACAGTGTAGGCAAAGTGGAAGGAGAAAGGAGGTTGACAGATAATCCCCAATGACTGCCGAGTGCCACAGTGTCATGGGGCACACAGAAGCTGTCTGAGCCTCATCTATAAAATATGGGCAATAATCATAATAGAACCCTATTTAATGAGTCTGTGTGCCCTGCGAACCATAAGCCCTGGGGTGATGATTGGCTTTGCCTTTTATGGTGGCAGCACTCTAAGATGGCCCACCAGATTCTTGTTCCCATCCCCTGTCCCCATCCGGGTAACCTCGTCCCTCAGAAGTGTAGACAGAACCTGGGAATGCGATGGCAGAGTCACTCCTGTGATTACGTCATGCTATGCGAAACGCCATCATAGCAGACTGGAGAGCGATTCTCTTGCTGGCACAGGAGCGGGCCATGCGGCCAGTACTTAAGAGCGGCCTCTAGAAGCTGAAAGTGACCTCAGCCAACAATGAATGGGTCACTCAAGAAAACGGAACTTCAATCCTACAACCATAAGTAACCAAGTAACTGAATTCCGTCAACAACCTGAGCAAGCTTGGAGAGGACCCAAGTGTCAGGTGAGAATGCAGCCCAGCCGACACCTGTATTTCGGACCTGTGAGACCCCAAGCAGAGAACCCAGTGTCTGCGCCTGGACTTCTGACCTACAAAAACTGTGAGATAATGCATTTGTGTTGTTTTGAGCCACTAAATTTTTGGCAATTTGTTACACAGCAGTAGAAAATTAATCCAGCTTCACGATGCCGAGTCTATCTCGACTGTCTCTTGGCTTGGTCCCTTCGTTCCTAGATCCTCAGCTATCCGACTGGTCTCGAGTATCTACACATCACACATCAAACGTCACAAAGCATTTACTTCCTGGTCCTTCCTTCGGCCCCTCTTTTTTTAAAAACTTCTTTCCCAAAGCTTCTCGAAAAGCTCAAAACCATTTTCATCATTTCATGTAAATTTAAAAGCCCCTATGCTGTGGCTGACATGTTGAGACAGGCGACAGCACTAAAAATATATTATCGTCAGGATGAGACAATGAAGAGTCGTTATAAGCAATATTGTTCTAATTGTCATAATAAACATTTTGGGGGTGCTTCTCTAGCACCCATTTCCTTCTTTAATCAAAAGCCTCCTCCATTCTTTTAGAGAACTCACCTGCTGTGTGGCAGCCATGTGGTTATGTGGGATCCATCTCTCCTTTGATGGCAGGGACAGTCCCGAATTAGGTTAAGCCAATCGGGGAGTACTATCCTTCTGATCAAAAAATTTGATTGGCTAAGAGGTGTGCCTATTACCCTCGTTGGACCAATAAGGTATGAGGCAGTGTTGACTGGGAACTTGGGGAAAGAGGCCTCCTTGCTATTTATGGGTGTCTCTCAAAGAGCGTACTCTCCCTCTGGATGTCGTGGTGAGGACTTGAGTCCTGGAGTTGCTGAAGCAATCACTGCCACTACAGGGAAGAGGCAGGACGAGGGCAAAGGCGGGACACAAAGGAGGTGACAGGCAAAGGGAACGCAGAGAAATGGGGACAGGCCCCGACGGCACCCTCCTCTCTGGATCACGCCTGGCCTGAAGGCAGGCCCACACTGGACTCCACGGCCATGGGGGCGAATAGACACTATTTGGGACTTGATCCAACTTGGGTTAGGTTTTCTGTTACTTGAGGTGAAAACCTTCTGTCTGATACAAATGTATTCCGAGAAGAATGAACTGAAAAGCTTTTAGAATTTACTACGATGGCCAAATACTAAAGAAGCATAACAAAATCAATACAGATTTTTTTCTTGGCGCCAGAAAAAAAAAAATCACCTCAAAATATAATGAGTCCACCAAAAGATACATCCAAAAATATTCACAGCCACTTTTCCTATAATAGCCCCAAAATGAGAACCACCCAGGCGTCCATTAACAGGAGAACAGATAAACTGTGGTTTATTCATAAAATGGAATGCAATGCACACGGGTGAACCTCACAGACTTTACATTAAATACGCCTTTTAAAAGCATCTCGTTTGCAGACTTTAGGCAGAGCAGGGGCCACAGCCTCCTTCAAGTCCACGTCCCACTCGGCCCTGAGCCCGAGATGTTGCGTATGCCCTGTTTGACTTTTGAATGGAAACAATTCTTTTGGCTTCAGAGCCTCACTCCTCCAACCATCAAGTTCAAACCCAGGCCACAGGACAGGTGAGCACGGGACCCTGTGCCAGTCCTCAGTCACCTGCTCCTCTCCTGAGCTCAGCCACATCTCCTCCAAAGCAACAGGTCACAACGTAGTATTTTACCTCTGCCCCTGTGACAGTGTTAGCTCGTTAGAACCCCACTCCGCATCAACAGCAGGTCTTGGCCCACCTGCCTGGAACGAATAGATGGTTCTCTGGCCTCATCTCCCTTGACCTCCTGGGGGGCTGTGACAGCGTGTTCTCTCGCTCCTCCTTGAAACTTCCTCTTCCCTGGGGCCCACGGCAGTCTCCCCCTCGGTTCTCTGCCTACTCACCGACCAGCTCTCCTCGGCTTCCTCTCCACACTGTTCCCCTTTCTGCTTCAGCTCTCGAAGATGGAATTCCTCAGGGCCGGGTCACGGGCACTCCTTCCCCCACCCCCCACCTTCCACAAGCCCCCCCACCGGTGTCCGCGTCCCTCCCAAGTCTGTCTCCATCCTCACGACTCCCACATTTACATCTCCAGTTTGGACCTCGCCCAGAACACAGCTCGCCCTACTGGACGTGTGCCCTTGGGGCGACACGCCTAAATGCAGCGTACCCATGGCCCATCTGCCCTCGACATTTGCTTCCCCATGTCATTCCTCAGATCAGAAAACAGTGGCATTATCCACGCCATCGTTTACGTCAAACCGCGTATGAGAATCTCCCATGATCCTTCTCGATCCGTCGGTCCCCAAATCCATGCCATCACCAGCTCCCACTGCCTCAAAAATTTCTCTTGAATTGGGCTATTTGTTCGGTTACACTGCTGCCCCCTGCCCCAGTCCAGAGCACTATCATCTCTGGCAGCTTCCTGGTCCCCACTCTGACGTCTCCAAACCCAGGAGAAAGAGCTTTCGAGACTAAGGGAGCAGCACGTACCAGCAAACATTCACAAGTGAAGTCACAAACATCTTCCTTTTGACACCCAGGAGGCTGGCACCTGGGGGAACTACGGAGGTGGCTGTGAGTGGCAAGAGGACAGGGCAGGTGACTTGAGGGGCATCTTGAAGATTAACCTGAGAGCAGTGAGGAGCTGAGGAAGGGTTATAAACCAGAGAATGGCTTCCCAGATGTGCATTACAGGTAGAGGGGAGGCCTCTGTCACCGGGGACATCGCTGGGGAGATGCAGAAAGCGGGAGAAGTTGTGGGAATCAGCCAGCCATTAGGCGCGCCATGAAGCTCGGCGTCTGTTCCCATGGAGTGAAGTCAGAAAAATCTTCCTTCTATGAAAGGAGATCTAGGAACAGTCAGTTTCTAGTACTATGAAGGGAAGGCACGAGAAACGTTAACCAATCATTATTAATTGGACCTTGGAGGAATCAGCTTGCGTAAGCAAAGAAAGAGGAAATAAATTTGCAAAGAAAGTCTCAATTCTCAGCAGTTGAAAAAAAAAAATGGATCAAAACAGAGCCCTGGGCTCTCGAATAACAACAGAAATGGGCGGGGGGCGGGGATGAAGAGAGGAGAGGAAAAATTCTTTCTCCTCTTTTTTATTATTCAAAGTGGGGTTTTACATATATTTGAAAAATGAACTTCCTCCAGATTTTAAAATATCATCGTGGTTTTGGGCAGAGAAATAAATTGGTTTTCTTTTCATATTTACATATCAGCCCTATTGTCCTGTCGGGGACGGTCCGAAGAACATCATTTGATATCATTGGCACTGCGAGAATGGGATAAATTATTCACCCTGAAAGGACCCCGCAGCTGGACGTAGCCCCCCTTCACTGGCAAGGCCAGATAATACACGGTGGTTCAGATGGTGCCAAGTGCAGGTCATAAAAATTTAAAATACTACTTCCCGGGATTATCAATAATGAAGAGGTCCCCACATGGATGGGCAGGGACAATAAATAAAAGCGCAGAAGCGCTGATGAGGAGCCACATTGCATTTTTATGAGCTGGACTTGCACAGGCCGGAAACGGACGGAAGCCGCATCCTTCGGCTCATCCCTACAGCCGAGAGGAGAGTTCAGAGCAGGGCAGTGAACGGCTGGCGGCCGAGGACCCACTACGCGCCAGGCCCTGTGCGTGGGGCCCTTCTGAGGCGTGTCCACTCAGTTCCTTCCCACAGCTCCTTACCACATCCCCCCCAATCCTCGCGTCTCTGCTTTAAAATTATTATGATGCCCGTGTTTCCGATGAGGAAATCTAGCCTCGGAGG